TTTTCTGATGAAGGGTCTAGGCCCGAAACGTCAGCCTCTCTGCTCCTATGATGCTGCTTGGCCTGCTGTGTTCATCCAGCCCTGCACCTTTGTTGTCAAAGAATAGTGCCTAATGAGAAACTGGACACAGTTTTCAATGAATACTTTGTATTGGTCTTCAGAACGGAATAGAATCATACAATCCCCACAATATGGAAGCAGGCCATTTGGCCCATCAAAACAACAGTGATCCTCCAAGAAGCATCCCACTCAAAGCCATCTCCCTACTGTATCCCTGTAACCCTGGCATTTCCCATGGCTAATCCACCTAACCTGCACATTCCTCGACACTATGGGCAATTTAGCATAGCCAATCCACCTAACCTGCATGTCTTTGGACTTTGGGAGGAAACTGGAGTACCTGGAGGAAACCCATGCAGACACAGGATGAATGTGCAAACTCCGCACAGACAGTTGCCCGAGGGTACAATTGAACCCAAGTCACTGGTGCTGTGAGACGGTAGTGCTAACCACTGTGCCACCCCAAATAGAAATAGGATGACAAGTATAGCCATACAGTGGAGGACTGTGAAATACTATAAGAAATTAATGGAGAGAGTAAATACCCAGGGTTTGGTAGCCTTAGAAGAGGATAAACCTGCAGGCTTGGATGAGTTGTACCCCAGGTTGATAAGGGAAGCAAGGCAGGAGATAATCAGTAACCCTGACAGTAACTTTCAAATCCTCTCGCACTACAGGGGAGGTGCCAGAGGACTGCAGATCTGCTAAATGGAGGAAGAGATAGACCAGGAATTTACAAGCCAGTCAGTCTAACCTCATTGGTGGGAAAGTTATTAGGAAGAAGTCTGAGGAACTGAATATATCTGTACTTGGAGAGATAGGAATCAATCAGGCATAGTAGGCATAACTTTGTGAAGAGAAGGTTGTGTTTGACAAATTTGATCAAATTTTGTGAAGAAGTAACCAGGACTGTTGATGAGGGAAATGTATTTAATGTAGTCCATGTGGACTTTAGCTTGTGATAAGGTGTCTTGTGGCAGACTAGTCAAGAAAGTTGGAGCCCGTGGGATCCAAGGCAAGTGACATGTTGGATCAAAAATTGACTGAGAAGCAGGGAGCAGAGCGTGTTGGTAGAGAGACGTTTCTGTGATTGAAAGTCTGTTTCGAATAGGTTCCACAGGGCTCAGTGCTGGGGGCCTTGCTGTTTGTGGTGTACATTAATGATTTGGACTTAAATGTAGGGGTATAATCAAGAAATTCATGGATGACAAGAGAATCAGCAGGATGCTCAATAGGGTGGCATGGTGGGTCAGTAGTTAGCACTGCTGCCTCACAGTGCCAGGGACCCAAGTTCAATTCCACCCTGCGCCAACTGTCTGAATGGAGTTTGCACATTCTCCTCGCATCTGTGTGGATTCCCTCTGGGTGCTCTGGTTTCTCCCCGCAGTCCAAAGATGTGTAGGTTAGATGGATTGGCCGTGGGAAATGCAGGGTTATAGAGATATGGTAGATGGGTTGGATCTGGGTGGGATGCTCTTTGGAGGGTCATTGTGGACTTGATAGGCTGAATGGCCTGCTTCCATACTGTAGGGATTCTATGATTCTAAATAGTGAGGAGGATAGCCATAAGCTGCAAGAGGATATGAACAGACTGGTCAGGTGGGCAGGCCAGTGACAAATGGAATTCACCCCAGCAAAGTGTGAGGTAATGCACTTGGGTGAGGTCCAACAAGGGAAGAGACTATAAAGCAACCCTGGAAGGTACTGAACATCAGAGGGACCTTAGTGTGCATATCCACAGACCTCTGAAGGTAACAGTGCAGGTAGATAAGGTGGTTACAAAGGCATGTGCAATGTTTGCCTTTATTAGCTGAGCTATAGAATACAAGAGCAAGGAAGTTATGCTGGATCTGTATAAAACACTGGTTAGGCCACAACTGGAGTACTGCATGCAGTTCTGGTGACCGCATTCTCGGAAGGGTTTGAAAGCAGTAGAGAAACTGTGAAGTATCGTGTACAAGGACACACCTACCCTAGAAGGAATGCAATGAAGGTTCACTGGCCTGGTTCCCAAGAACTAGTTGAGCAGGCCCACATTTCCTAGAGTTAGAAGATTGATCTGATTGAAACATATAGCATTCTGAGGGGGGTTTGTCTGGGTTTGCCATACTTTGTTATCACTGTACCCTAGTGGAGTGGTTGGCATTATCTTACTTTTTCTCTGGCTTTCTTCCAGCCTCCTACAATCCATATTTCAATGTTAGGCATCTGATTTTTCTTCTTCCTCTTCTGTTTTTGCCGCCATTTTTTCTTTCCAATTGTTGCCAGGAAAAGACTGCTGAGTCTTTTTTTCTAATGTTGGTACCTGACTATCTTTCTCTCTCCAACTGTACTTCCAAATCCATCCGATTCTGAACTTTTACTATTTGTCTAACCCAATCATCTATCTTTCTGTCTGCCCAGCTAATTCTGAATATCCCACACCAGATTTACCCTTCCAAAGCTGTTCTCCTTCTCTCATCCTCTTTCTTCTGAGTCCAACTCCACAGTAGTGGCTGCACCAGACTTCTTCTCAGCTTCATGCTGATGCTTTTGGACTTCAAAGACACTACTTAAGGAATTGCTATCACCTCTTACCAGAGCAACCTGGATTTCATTCTTGATGATGCTCAAGCTAAAGTACTTGAATCTGTCCACTTGCTTCTATCTCAATGCTTCCAATCTTGATATTTCCTTTGTCATTTAGAGCCATTAAGCTGGTGTTTTACTCATTTATGTTCAGTCCATAAAACTTATTGTGTCTATTGACAAACGCTGCCATAATTTCAGGCTTTTCCTTTGTTCTGGCTGACCATGTTGTACACTATATTGTACAACATCTGTGAAGCATCCACCCACATCTCTTTGATACTTCTTCCTGCACCATTCTCAGTATCCTCTCTCCCACAGCATTTAGGAGCATGGATGACAGTAAACACCCTTGCTCGATTCCCTTCTCAAATAAATAAAACATACGTCGATATCAGCCATGCATAACTGGTAGCCTTCTCACAGAAGAGTATAGCTCAAAGTGCTCGTCCAGGGTCTTGAGCTCACAAACCGCATTGTGCAGAACAGCACTGAGAGTTGCTCACCAGAATTTATCTGTCGACCAATGTCATTCAAGCATCTGAGTTTCTCCAGCACTTTGCAATCTCCAGCATCCACAATATTTACCAAAACTGATTATTTGGTCATGATCATATTTCTGCTTGTGGGAACTTACAGCTTGCAAAGTGGCTCCTGAATTTCCTCAGTTAAAGAAAGAAGATCTTGCGTTTAAGTAGTGCCTTTTGTGATCACAGGACCATTGGGAATAGGACTTTACGGCCTAGAAAGTACTTTGTGAAGGATACTCACTGTTATAACGTCAGAACCACAGGAACCAAGTTGCACACAACAAACTTGCAAACAACAATTTGATAACAAACGGATCATCTGATTTTGCAATATTGAGAGATAAATATTGGCCAGGCTGCGCCAGGCATAGCTCTCTTATGTAAAAGCAAGTGACTGTAGT